TTGCCTCTAGGGACACCTCCAAGTGGTCACTCCATGCAGCGCTGGAAATAAGGTAAGTTTTAAACTTTTATGCGGGGGCTAAAGGGGGACAAACCACGTAAATGGTGGGTTAAACACTATAGGATCAGGAATACATGTTTGTGTTTCTGACCCTATAATGTTCCTTTAACTCCCCAGATGATGTTGCACTAAAATTTTGGACCCACAGATGTTGCTAAACTTCAAATTCTAAAATTATCTGCCTCTCTATTGCTTTCAAAGAATTTTGTGGAGTTATTTCCGATCAATATCTGAATATACTAGAGTTTCAAAATCATGATCCAAGTTCTGTATGCACAGTGTAAATACAAATTTCCAATTGTTAAGCAGAAATAATTTATTCATATATCTCCTTCAAAATGACTAAAACAATCTCCAACCACTCTCTCGAGCAAGCATTTATCAAATTTTCTTAGTAAACTGTTGTTATGTGCAGCCAAATAAGGATCTCAGGATATAAATATGCTTGTGCTAAAGTTAAGTAAAAAAAAACTTTGAGAGGGTTGCTGGATTAATGAATGAGGTTTACTACAGTATTTAAATATATTTATTATCCAATAAAAATATAATTGTTATTATACACTTGATACTCTTTTTGATTGAAGAATCATGGAGATAATTTGCTTCATTTTATATACCTTGTGCTTAGTTGGGAGTTCTTAAACTGTGATTTTGTACTTTTAATGAAGTATGCAGCCTGTGACATTATTACCGAAAGACTAATTAGAACAAGTGCTAATTAGCAGCTTTAGCTTTTATTGGCAGGCATAATCTACTGTAAATGTAGGTACTACAGGACACACTTAGAACAACTATCAAGATTTAATGAGGCACTACCAAATCACTTTATATTCATTAAGTACATGATTTAATAGTGTAGGTAATATTTGTGTAGCTGTGATGTTCCAATATAGATGTGTGAGACCGATTTAATAGTGTAGGTAATATTTGTGTAGCCGTGATGTTCCAATATAGATGTGTGATGCACCTTCTATTGAAATAGTCCCTGATTAAGCAGCATTTCCATGTTTAACAATAGCTTTTTTCTATTGCAAGATTAGTATCATGTAAATTTGCAGACAGTGTGATACCTACTTGCTTCATCTGGTTTTTCTAGATCCTCTGAAGATCCTTCCTCCTGTATGTCTTGCTTTGGAGAGGACTCTGTTGGTTCCAAAATACTCACTGGTGACAATGGAGCACAATGGCTTAAGCTGGAATCTCTTGGTAGAGTAAAACTACGTGGTTTTGCCCCACTGTTACTTAACACATGTAATCTACCACCATCAACCAAAGGAAAGGGGCCATAGTGGTCTTGCAGGTGGCACTTCTGAGCTGGAAGAGTAGATTGTCGTCTGTGATCCGGAGAAACAACATTTGGGTCAGAGAACACGGAGTCCTCCAGGGGAAGAGTCTGAAGGTAATGAAGTCCTGAGCTAGTTAACGGAGTCTCAATTAAATCCTGCCAAGACCGTCGCTGACTAGCAGTTTTCCTTATTGGAGAATTGGTGGTGCTTCCAATTGCTTCCTGTCGATACTCCTCATGTGATGATTGTGATTGTGATGTTTCCGTGGAAGACAATCGACTGTGTTTTGGTTCCACAAAAGGGCTGGCACAACTCATCTGCAAGTAACAAGAGAGTGGACTTCAGGGAGTAAGACAATAACCTTTACAAAGTAATTAAAATACACTGAAGAAACTTGTTTTACTTTTTTAGAAAATAAACTTAAGAAAAAATAATACATTAATGTTAACTAATATAATCAATATTACAAATGTGGTTTAAGTCTTCTGTACATATCCAACTTAAACCACAGTAAGTAATTCTGCATCCAAATTCCACACAAATCTTAAATATTCATATTTTTCTTATTGAAGCCACAATGAGTTTTATAGCATGGAGACGTGTCTATGATTTTCATTATGTGCAATTTTTCCAGGGAGCCAAGTTGCCACTGCCTACATTAAGTCTGATGCACAACAACTTAATTTGGTTGTATAACATATTTGTATGTGTCACTCCTTTTGAGTTTAATTCATTGTGTCTTATCTATTTTTCAGTATCCCCATGTGGGTATCTAATTCTTTCCCTATAATAGTAAAAAAAAAATAATATATATATATACATACATACACACACACACACACACACACACGAGATAGTTATTTTGTACATTTAATTTTGCTTGCACATATATAGCATGTGGGATTCATTTATTGGGTTGCTGCCATAACCATTTTCTTACTGTTCTTTTTATTTTTTTTATAATGACCTGTCAGGCACTCATAGGCGTGCCCAGCCTATTGCATAAGGGTGTGAACCCTAAAGCACAAACACACACGCCGCATTTATATATATATATATATATATATATATATACACATATATATATATATATATATATACACATATATATATATATATACACATATACATACACACACACACTGCTGTGTGTGTGTGAGGGTTCTGTGTGTGTGGGGTGTGGGCAGTGTGCGTGTGAAGGTTCGGCGTGTGTAAGGTGTGTGTGTTTGTGAGGGTGGGGTGTGTGTTAGGGTGCTGTGTATGAGGGTGCTGTGTGTGTAAGGGTGCTGTTAGTGTGTGCTGTGTGCATGTGTCAGGGTGCTGCTGTGTGTGAGGGTGCTGTTAGTGTGAGGGTGCTGTTAGTGTGTGTGCGTGCTATGTCTGTAAGGGTGATGTATGTGTGTGGGTGCTGTTAGTGGGAGGGTGCTGTGTGTGTGGGTGGACCATTCAGTTAATATCCTCCCTCCCTTCTTACCTTTTTCTAGGGAAGGGGGACTATGCTGCTGCCATCCCTGGTGGTCAAGTGGTGAGTGAACTCTAGCCTGCAGGGCTAGAGTTCACTCTCACGTGATCTGAGCGTTGCCGAGGCAACGCTCTGACCTCGCGACAGGAACCCGATGGAGCTGCTGGCTAGAGCTCCCCAGGTCCTCTCCTGCCTCCCTCCCTGCCTGTGGGTCGATGAGGGAGATCTTTGATCTCCCTCACCAGCCCACTTAGGGAGGCACATAGTGCGGGCCGCAGGGATTAGGGTGTGCCCAGGCACACCCGGCTCACCCCGTGGGAACGCCTATGCAGGCACTACTATACTACTAATACAACAACTTCTGTTTTTGTTGCAAAGCATTAACTTGGCTCTACCCAAGTAGAATCGAAGCGTGGACCCTGTATCTCAAGGGTATCAACTACACCACGCTGACAAGGCTCAAACAAGGCCAAAATGATCGTTTGGGGTTGGTGTATATTTCATGCAGAGAGAACTTGCCAACATTTCTGTTCTCGACTGCCCTTATGGGTGGGATTAGTTTTTTTTTTTAACTTTTTTTTTTTTAAACATATAAATATGTAACAGAAACATTCAATTGCATATATTCAGGTGTAGTCTGCACAGTTAAAGTACATATTAAAACATGAAATATAAACACATTCATGTAGTGATATTCGTGCTTAAATTACTAAATATTATCATATATTCTGATCATTAAACATGAATTAAAGTCTTATCCTAGTCACAGAAAGATTAACATAAGTGTAATGGGGAAAAAAAATAAAAAATTACAAAATATACATAATAATTTTACAATATGATGGGGGCGGAACCTGGCTGCCGAGCAGAGAGGAAGCATGTCTTAGCAGCTCTTGCTCACCAGAACAAACAAAGCAGAATATTGCGACTAAAACAGTAGCTACCCAATACAGCACGGTCACCAACCGAGAGGGAACATTGAGGTGAACAAAATGACACCACTTAAGCGACAGTTCAAGCAATACTCACCCATCACCCTGGTGAGGCCTACAAGCAAGGCAGGAGAGACGGCTGCTCGCCTGCTGCCACAACAAGGTGAAAACTTAAACCGGGGCCCGAGTTCCCCCTCCCTCTGGACCGGCAGAGTAATCCCGGTCCACCCCCAACCAAAGTACTGGTAACATAACACCAACACAGAATCCAGGGCCTACTACCAACAAGGCCAACAAAATGGCGGATGCCTCCCACGCTACTGACCCATGCAGTGCAGTGCTGGAAACTGAGCGCCGGTTAAATAAAATCTTTGCCTCCTTTTGGGAGAAAATGGAGGCCCGCATGCAACCTCCGGTGTCGGAGAATCTCCCACAGACCTGCCACAGGACATACATCAGGCATTTAAGCGGAAGGTAGCACTAACCCCCTCTGAAAATAAACCCACGAGAGGTAAGCACCAACAAGGAGCCATCTCGGGGTCATGCTTCTGGAGCCCCACAGAGTGCAGCAGAAGACCAGGGGTGGCAACCAGAGACCCGGGAAAACCCAGGAGAGGGCACCCAAGGCTACCTCACCTGCGAGCGTAGATGCGACACAAGCTCCGGAGGGGCAAAGCGGGCTTGAACAAGCTGGAGAAACGGCGGGACGCGAGGCCCCATGAAGCAACAGCCACAGGCGGATCCTCCTGTGGCAGTGGCAACCCATGATCGCTCCGGGAGACAGGCCACGCAACCACAAGACTGACTCAATATGCCCCACCAAGATCACGTCCACACGGCACAAGGTCCATACGCACTTCAATCCATGGGCTACCGAGCTGGATGCCTCAGCCTGCACAGTGTGGATACACGCAGCCTCTGCAAGGCATCGGCTGACTTGAGAATCAAGCCAGGGACTCTAAGACAGGTATATATATACACCCTACATAGCACAATGACTTATGGGGCTGGCATAGATTTCTTTCCAGGTCTGCTTCGTATCCCCAGTCCGGCCCTGCATATGAGCGATTAGCATTCTGTCAAATAACTAAGTGTGCAGCCAACTATTTCAATTGCATGTATATATATATATATATATATATATATATATATATATATATATATATGAAACAAGGGGGGATATATATGCAATTGAAATAGTTGGCTGCACACTCGGATTTCCTTAAAACGTAACTTTTATTGAAATATTTAAGAGAAGATCAACGTTTCAGTCTCTCTTGTGGACTTTCATCAGGATAATGATGAAAGTCCACAAGAGGGACTGAAACATTGATCTTCTCTTAAATATTTCAATAAAAGTTACGTTTTAAGGAAATCTGAGAGTGCAGCCAACTGTTTCAATTGCCTGGATACTGGAGCCCTGGTAATGCACCCGGTCACACAATATATATTATTGATAAATTTCTTCTACCAATTCAAAATATTAGTTCTTTCAGGGTAATTAAATTATACATTAAAGCATACTCACACACAGACACAGACAATGTTACTGATGCACACAAATAGGCTCATTGACAGACAATCTCAATGACACACACAGATAATGTTACTGGCACACACACAAATTTAGTACAGACTCTGATACAGACAAAGACAAACTCTGATACACACACAAGCTTACTACAGACAAGCCCACTGTCACACACGCTCACTACAGATAAGCCCACTGATGCGCACACATTCTCCACTCTCCCTACAGACAAGCCCATTGACACACACATGCTCCCTACAGAAGAGCTCACTAACAAACAGATTCACTACAGACAAGCTCACTGACACACACAAACTCGCTAGCAGGCACACACACACAGAGGCTCCCTCATTAGCAGATGTGCGCATGCACACACACACACACAGAAGCTCGCTCGCTCACTCACTAGCAGATGCACACACACAAAGGCAGACAGTCACTGACACAGAGGCAGACAGTCACACACACAGGCAGACAGTCACACACACACACAGTCACACACACACAGGCAGACAGTCACACACACACGCAGACAGTCACACACACACACACGCAGACAGTCACAGACAGACAGTTACACACAGTCACACACACACACAGGCAGACAGTCACACACACACACACGCAGACAGTCACAGACAGACAGTCACACACAGTCACATACACACACAGTCAGTCACAAACACACACACAGTCACACACAGGCAATCACACACAGACACACTGACCTGCTTCTTACCTCCACATCCCTTGGAGCTCCTGGAGGCTGGTTGTTGGGGAAGCAGGGACTCCTTCCTGTTTCCCATGCTGCAGTTAGCCAGGCCCCCGCCGTACAGCAAGCTCCGCCCCGCCGCACACAAGGCTCAGCCCCCGCCGCGTGTGTGAGCTGTGCCGGCCGCCTGGCTCCCCCTGCTCCCATGGGGTCCTGTGCGGCCGCACAGCTCACACATAGCCAGCCGGGATTACAGGAGCCTGAGTAATGATAAGGGCGGTCAGCCCAGCCCCAGGTGCCGCGGCCCACCGGGAAATTTCCCGGTATCCCGGTGGGCCAGTCCGGCCTTGCTCATATGCTTTGCATACATCACAGTTACACATCACATGCTCGCAAAACTGTAATTTGCTTGTTGATCGTCTGCTCTGTCTAGCATTACTAACTTACTAAAAATGCTCAGCTCACTCCTGCCATAGCACTGTAAAATTGTGTTGATTATGTTTGCTCTTGTTAAAGCTGTTAAGGCAATACAGGCATCAATGACTCATCTGCCTGCACGCCATTGGGTCAAGACAGCTATTTCCGCAAAGTCTTAGATAAACCATAGTTAATTATCTGGTTAACAGGATCTAAAGTGAAAAAAATTGTAGTAACACAGCTTAATCTAGTACGCTAATCTCGCATATGGTTGCAGATTGTTTCTTACTGTATAGACAGCTCGGACTAACCGGTCTCCTACTCTACATAAACATTAAAATGTGCAATCAGTATGTAATGCTGGCCATCTAGCATAGTATGTTGTTTCTTGCATTCTCATCTCTCACCTCACAACTATGTAAGTTTAAAAACAGTCTTCACGTCACTATATATAAAAAATGTGCATTGTATTTCCTTGTCATACCTTACTACATTGATGTTAATTACTATATCGCGGGTACATGCTGTTGGGGCATGGCACACGCATTTGCAACTGTTATTTTTCCTTATGCACTCAAAAATAAAGAATTCATATTAAAAAAAAATAATAATAATTATACAATATGCGGGAAAAAAAACAAAAAAACAGACACCCCTGGGAAGGGCCTGGAGGACTCTTCTAATCCAGTCCCAAGAACAATATTTTATAATAAAGGCTAAACAAATTTTACATGTTTTACACAGGGGATCAACCTATAAGGTAAAACAGCAGATAATATATATCAATGTTTTGTAGTATGTATTATGGCAGCAAAATTCATTCTTTATAATATGTAAACCAAACCTCACATATCTTATTGTGTTTTGTTATATTACCATCATTATGATATACTGCTTTTTCCATTACCCCTTGGTAGTTAATCTGTTTTCTTATTTCTTCTATACTGGGAGATTACTCCTTTCTCCAATATCAAGCCATACATAGTTTCACCGCCATCAAAATATGAACAACTAGATATAACAATGGTCTAGATCAGGCTTCCCCAAAACTCTGGCCCTCCAGATGTGCTGAACTACAACTCCCATGATTCTACGAATTAAATAGATAGGCTGAGGATCATGGGAGTTGTAGTTCTGGAGGGTTGGAGTTTGGGGAAATGTGGTCTAGATAGATGAGAGGTTAAGGTGAAAAAGAAATTGCTCTAAAGTTAAAGAAATATAAATTTTCAAATCTGTAAACATTTATGTAACTTTCAATTTCAGATGATTTAGTTTAAGACAATCCCACCAAATATGCTTTAGTGAGCCAACATTTCTATTACATCTCCAACAAAGATTAGAAGTATTTGGTTGAAATTCACATAACTGTATAGGCACCATATACCACCTGTGTATAATTAAAAAAAAAAAGTCACCTGTATGTTCACACAATGGATAGATTTCCCAATCGTTTAAAAAAAAAAAAAGGTTTTCCAAATCTGGAAAGAAAACTTTTCTCAAACGTTTTTCCCATTCTTTAATAGATTTTGTTTCCACATTTTGATTTAGGGAATATACGGCTTTCCTAATCTTAGAAGATATCTTTCCAAAATTTCCAAGAAGGAGCTTATCTAAAGGTGATTCATTTATTATTATAACTTTACGTAAGAAATCTTCTATTCTTATATATGTATATAGTTCTTAATTATCAAGATTTGATCTTATTTGTAGATCTAAAAACTTACAGATTTTACGAGCATAGTATATATATATATCTTTTATTCTCACTAATCCTGCATCTGACCAACGTCTCAGATTCTAATCTTGGATAAATAATTTCAAAGCTTTCAGTGGGGTATGCTTAGAAAGTTTCTGGTCTGTAAAAAAAAAAAAAAGCTTCTTTAGTGGCTCTACAGCTTAGAAGACTTGATTAATAACTAAATTGTCAATCTTCAAATTTCTAAAGATGTTTTTATCTATCCAAAAAGATGGAAAGGGTCAAATTTGCCACACATCTTTCTTTTATACATATACCAAGGTTTCATAAAAGAATAATTGATTCCCCATTCAAAAAAATTTGAAAACAGAACAGTGTCCTGAATAAGAAAAACGTTGGGAAAGGATAAACCCCCCTCTGATGTTCTAGTTGTTATTGTTTCAAGGGCAATTCTAGATTTTTTTAGTCCCCCACACGTATGATACAAATAATCTGTGAAAGGATCTCAACATTAATCTGGGGATTCTAAGAGGTATTATCCAAAATAAATATTGTAGCTTGGGGAGTAAATAAGATCTAAGAGTATTTATCCTCCCAAGCCAGGAAAGTTGTATTTTACTCCATTTATCTGTCAACTCTTTAAGCTCTTGAAGCAGTTCATTATAGTTTTCCTAATTCCAAGAACTAATGTTAAAATTTATCTTGATTCCAAGATATAAGATGGATTTATTAAACCACTTAAATCTAGAGGTTTTTTTTATAAAGATTCAACCTGTGAATGTGTGAGATTGTTATGAATAACTTGGGTCTTATGAATATTGATTTTATAGTTAGATAGGTAACTAAATAGACATTTCTGGATTAGTCTAGATAAAAATTACTTCATCGGCAAATAACGTTATTTTCTGTTCTTGGCTTGCTAAAAAAACACCTGAAATATTACGTGATAATCTGATATAAGCTGCAAGAGACTCAATGGATAAGATATTTAGAAGGGCTAATGGATAAGATATTTTGGAGTGCTAATGGACAGCCTTGCCGAGTGCCATTCCCAATATTAATCCAAGTGGAATTTAGGCCGTTGCCATATACTTTCGCTAAGGAAGTAGAGTAAAGTGATAGTGTTAGGTCTTTAAATTTCTCCTCTATACCAAAGGCAGATAGGGTTGATGACAAGAATTTTCAATTTACTCTGCCGAATGCCTTTTCATCATCGACAGCAATAAAATTGGAAGGTATATGTTCTCTATTAACTTCTATCAAAAGGTGTAGGATCTTTCAAGTGTTATCGCTGGCTGATCTCGATCTTATAAATCCTGTTTGGTCTATATGAATTAAATCAGAAATAATCACGCTAAGTCTATCAGCCAGAAATTTTGAAAATATTTTTATATCTTGGTTTATTAATGAGATTGGGCGATAATTACTTATAAAACAAGGATTCTTTTCCTGGTTTTGGAATTGGTGATGTCGTTGCTCTCAACAAGTCTGATGAAAAACATTATTACAATGCCTCTTTTCCGCAAATAAATTGCTCAGAAGGGGGGTTACCATTGGTTCAAAGGATTTATAAAATTATGCTGTGTAACGGTCAGGGCCTGGGGCCTTATTGTTTTTAAGATTTATAATTACTTTTTTATCTCCTCTATAGTTATGGGTTTATTCATATTATTTAGTTTATCTAAATTGAGTTTAGACAAAGAAAGTTTAGAAAAAAACAAATTAACTCTGAATTACTTGGTTGTCCTTTAAATTGTAGAGAGATGCACAATAGTTAGCAAAAGCTTCTCCTATGTTCTAAAGGGAGAGATGAACTTTTTCCCCTTCTATAATTTTTTTTATCCCATATTTCTTTAGGTCTGGTTTAATCTTTTTAGAAAGAGATTTCTCAACTCGATTGTTACTATTATACCATCTTTGGTTTAAATAAGTAATAGATCTTTTAACTTTTTCTTCCAGTAGAGATTTAATCTGT